TGTCAGTACATGGTAGTTTTGCAAGGTAATAATGCTATTGGATGTGATTTTTTTCATTATTATTTTTTACATTCTTATTTTTATTTCAAGCTCTCCCAGGTCCTAGCTGGTGTGTGTGCATACAACAAACTGGACTACTTTAAAAATGTTTTGCATGGAACATTTCATTGGGGATCTCAAAGGTCTTTCCAAAAGGGACTTTTTAAAGGTCTTTACAAAAGAGGCGTACCAAAACTATCTTGTAAACCAGCTTTTTCCCTATTCTAGTTCACTACTTTTTCCATAGTGCCTTTTATCTTGGTTCACAGCTAGTCAATAATTATAAAACACTCAATAACAGACTGGCAAGTGATGTGGTGTAACCAGTGCTCATTGAGTTTATCATAATCTATTTTATTGAAATTAACTCTCATGTTACATTAATTTGTTAGGTGTTTGAAGCAAGCCTTGCCTTATTTTTATTAATTGATTGGGGACAGTAGAGCTTTATACTAGAGAAATAAGCCTCCCACAATATCTGCATGGGAAATTTATATAGAGTTCTCAAGAACAGACAGAAAAACAGCAAGTGTGAAACAACACGAATGTGAAAATTTGAGGGGAGCTTATCAATGTGTATGAATACTTGATGGGGGGGGTGGTAAAGGGGATTGAACCAGCCTTTTCAGCGGTGCCCAGTGAAATGGCAGGAGGCAGTGGGCACTAACTGAAATGCAGGGAACTCCATCTAAATGTAAGAAAAAGCTTTTTCACTGTGTGAGTGGTCCAACAGTAGACCAGGTTATCCAGCAAGATTGTGGAGTCTCCATCTGTGGGGATGGTCAAAACCCAGCCAGGCACAGCCCTGTTCTAGGTGACCCTGCTCTGAGCTGGCAGCTGGGACTAGATGATCTCCGGAGGTGCCTTCTGACCTCTGTGATTAGTGGAAGTGACTTCCAGGGTGATCTCCTCTTGCCAGTATAAACGTTTTAAGAGCTGATGCTTTCATAGCCTGGTTGGTTTATCACAGAATATGGAATCGCTCCAGAAGGAATTAGTCTCCAGTAATCATGAGGAATATACATGACTGTCAGACTCCTTCAGCATTCATAATGGAAAGAAAAAACATGTTACTAGCCAGAGAGATAGTAAATTATAACGCTTAAGTAGCTGCTAGATTACAGTTGCAATGCTTCCTTTTGAAGTTGCTGTTGTCTGTGACTCTGATAATTTATTTCTGATGGCAGTAACTTGGCATTCAAAGGCATGTCACCGCAAGGACTGAATGCACACACCTGAAGGTGACCATTTTGCCACATGGTGCTGACATAGGTGTGGTACCATGAGCAGACTGCTTGGTCTGTTTTCCATGCATAGAGGATCTTAAACAGTCTCTCCCCTTCCACCAAGAGTGTCATGAGGTGGGAAAGAGGGTCTGAGGGCACAAGACTCTCTGGAGAGTGCAGAAATAGGAGTCTTACCCAGAGTGTCTGTGCTTCGAACCAGGATATAGGCAGGCATTTGATTTTTCATAAGGGAAGCCTCAGGGGACAAGCAGATGTCCTCAGCTCACCATGCTTTTAACACCTTGTTTATTGCATGAGTTGCAATTTTCCCCTTTTTTAAAGTGTTTTCCCTGCAAAAAGAGCTCATGCTTCCCAGTTAAAAACTGACTTCATCTCTGAGAAGCTTTTGTTTAGCTTTTCAGATCTTCTAATAAAAGGCTTTCCCTCTGGAAATGCCCTTCTATATAGTTTAAAAATAGAGGTGGCAGCTTCGAGAGAAAAATCTGTCATTAATACTAAGACAAGAATTGGTCTATTAGGTGTTTTTCCTCTTCCATAACTGAATTACGATATGGAATTATTGATCATGAGAACGTAAAATTGCATTTCTTTCTTTTAAACCAGGTAAATAATGATATAAGGTGTACCTTAGATGGCTCTGTGTTACTGGGAGTGGTTGTTTACTTTTGTGATATCCTAACTTCAGAGGAATGGTACATCAGAAGCAGAGAGAGCCACCATTAAAAATGGTGTGGTCGCCTATGCTGTACATTTAAATGTAACAAATGTGATCTTGAATAATGTCATTCTCATTTGCACTGCAGTGACATCAACATGAAAGGTGGCATTTGTGTTACTGTTTGCAGCTGGACAAAGGTGATAAGCCTGTCCCAAGCAAAGAGTTCCCTTGATGGTTTGCTATGGCTTATGATTTGCTTCATTTGAGAAAATATTGGTGTTGTGATTGATATTGTATTTTACTAGTGCTGCTGATTGTTTTCTTTGAAGCTGTAGAGGAATCTCCATCCTGAACTTGCTGAAGGAACTTGGGAAGATGATAAAATCAGCCTTTTTTTAGGCATTGTGTCTCTGTAATCCTGATGGAAAGTCCAGACCCGTGGCAGAGGTTCCTAACAAACAGCATACGAGCTTTGAAGCTGTTCTTTGAAATTCAGCTGGCAAATCTTTTTCTTCATCATTACTAATGGTCCTGGCAGTTTCATTTGCCATCTGTTTTCCTGCTACACATAACATTAAGCGGCATGCTTTCTTCCTCATGCAACCTCAAGAATGATTTTGGGCACAGTTTTACCTGATGTACTGATTGTTAGCTAAAACTGTTCCTTAATGATAGGGGGAAGCAGAAGTTAAATTATATTTTGGATTAAACAGGAGAGCTGTAGACTGGAGCTGTAGGTCCTTCGAGCTGGTATGTTAGATCGAGTGCTCAGTAATAGCTTTAAAATTTGCATTGCACACACTATTTAGCTATTTCAGTCAAAGCTGATAGGGATTGAACTACTTCTCATAAAAGTAAATAGGCATGAATACTCCTAAAATTTGTTTAGAAGCTAAGGTGATTAAATATTGCACATCAAATAATCTTAGGAGCTCGTGTGTTTTGATAAGCCGGGGCAGAACTGTAATTGGGCCCAGTTTTTCCTGATAATTTCATGCTTGAAAAGTTATCCGTTATGTCAAACATCCAAAATGATGAGTTCTTCTGGAAGACACAGGCCTAAATAAAGATATTGGCGACCTTATTCATTGATGTCCCTTGACTTTTGGAATTTGTCAGTGTTATCTAATGCCATAGAGCAGTGCAGGATGTTAACTGATAGCAGGCCCATGCATAGAGGGAACTTGGCAGAATAGTAGGCATTGACTCCACACGGACTATACTGTTTACCACTAAAGCAAAAAGGATCTATCTTCATACTGGACCTTTTAAAGTCTGAAGTAAGAGCTAGAGAGAAGAATCCACATTATGGAAATAAATTCTGCACGTCATGGACTTTGAGGGTGAAAAACCTGTGTACATGCACATGCATCAGTGCCAGAAGAGGCGACCGAACCAAGGAAGAACAGGATTTGTATCTGGCAGATACAGTCACAATTTGTGCATGGAGAGATGCAGCAAGTGAGGAACAGAATATTATGACTACAGTCACCTGGTTAAACCACAGAGGGAGCTGATAAGTGGCAAACGGTGAACAGCAGAAGCATGATAAATGCGCTTGTTTTGCATATTATTTTCTATTTTTGTTAAACTCAAGAGATGAGTTTCAGGTTTAGCTTCCCTTATGCTCATTTTATCTATATCCTAAATTTAATTTAGCATCACTATCCTATAAATTGCAGACTTTGAAGAATTACCTCATTAGTCTGGTTTGTGACTTATTTAATTTTGTATTTCTGTCTACACTACCAGCCTGCAGGGTTTTTTTAAGTGAATTTCTTCCTGAGTGTCTGTAACTGGTTTTTAGTGCATTTCTGTCTAGATTGGCAACTGGTATAAATCAGCATAGTCACAACAGTTCCACTTAGCTAGTCTGTCTGTTTTCATATTAATTTTCTTACAGTTCAGGATGAACTCCAGCAGTCTTTGTTCTGGCAAAACTCATGTTTCTTCTCTGTGAACTTCTGTAGTAACAACTACTACAGGAATTGGCCCAATTGGAATGTTTTTTTTCCTTTATAATGTGTGTTTGTTTCAGATGGTAAATAGTATCTATAGTTCTAGGACAACACTTAAGTAATCCTACTCAGCAAATTATTCCTTACACCATTGCAATCCCCTTAATTCCAAGAGGCTTTTATGAAAATTGCTATATAAAACACAAGTGCTTCTGTAATGGTCAATAACAGATGCCCAGAAAAAAGTATAAGAAGCTGGGTATCAGGTAGTGCCATGTATCATACTCTAATACTGCATAGAGTAACATACTGGTTGACATAAGAAAGCATATAGAGGTGTGACCCATTAAAGGAAAAAAGCTTTTCCCAGTACAGTTAGGTTCTAAAACGGAAGGAAAAAAACCAGCATGCAATAGTCTGAATTATAATAGTTCTCCCTTTTTTGGCCACTTTGAAATGTACTTTGAAGAGGCTAAAACTGTAAAATGAACGATGATCTATGAGAGAATTAATGTGTCTATAACATTAAAAAATATATAATTGAATTACTAACATTAAAAAAATATATAATTGAATTACTGTTTCATTTGTGTGTCTTGATACTACCCAATTCTTTTGGCCTGCTTTTACAACTACTTTTGCATACCTGTGACTGTATTCCCCCAAGTAGTTAAACAGAAATTAATGTGATAACCTAATTAAACAATTTGTGTGGGACTATGTTTCCCAGATCAGTTTCTTATGGAGCAAAAAACTTGTTTTTGTTTGCTTCATGACTTGACCAAAGCATTTTCTATGGGATTAAAATATTTTCCAAAGATATTCAGCAAGTTGGTGGTGGTACTGTTCTGTTGTTCAGATTGACTTCTTCGCCTGTCCATGGCAAGAGAGAAATGGGATATCAGCACTTCAGCTATTCAGAAGGATGATCTCTCTGGAGCTGATGTCCTCTAGCTCTTCGCAACCCCTGGCAATATCCCGCAACCGAAGGACAGGACGAGAAGTCAACCACTGATGGGGAGGAAAGACATGCTTTGGTGTAAATGACAAGGCAAGCAGTTACAGTCTGTCACTTTTCTTTCCCTGTTTTAAATGTAGAATGAAGAAGGTTTCCTGCAGGAGGGAATGGTGAATAATACAGATGTTCCTGTGGATCCTGAGAATGAGGCTTACGAAATGCCTCCAGAGGTAAGTCTGTTGTGGTATTTGCTGTGAACGCATGTAGGAGAAGCGCACAGGAGGGGGCTGCATGCTCGAGTTACATCAGCCTGGCACAGGCTGATGCTGTGAGGCTGCAAGGGCACAGCAGAAACGTGGTCTCTTTGGCCAAGGTCTTCTGGAGGTATAGTGCTGGGAATCAGAAAATCCGTTGCTTTCTTGATAGTTTAACAGGAAAACATTGTGTGTGTTTCAAAACACTTGTGCCTGGTTTTCTGAGTAATGTGTATTGAACTTGAATCTTTTTCTTATGTTCGATAGGGAATATGGGAAAAACTGCATCTTCATAGATAGTTTTAGTAGCTTGGCCATTTATCAAAGCATCGTGCTTTGTAAAACACAGTAATTCATGATTATACTCTTAAGTTAATGCAATAATGGGAGTAAATTGTGTTGTTTTTCATAATCCTGCTATCCAAAATATTACTATAATGTGTAACATGATGCATTGGTAGTTGGAGTGGCAGTTTTACAGTAGCACAGATAATTAGGCTGAAAATGAGAGGTATAAAACATTTAGGCCATGATCGAGTAAAAGACTTAAAGGCTTGCTTGATCACTAACACCTTGAATATCACTGGAATGATAGTAGTTAAACATACTCACACAAGTCAGTAAATCATTTAAATGTATCTGCAGCACCTGGTGTGCAGTTCAGCCCAGAGGTAGTCCTCCTCCTTCTCCAAGTGAATTGCCGTGGGTGGCCTCGTGAGTTCCTGGCAACATCAGCTGACCGACGTGTTAACTACTGTAAAAGCCTAACTCTCCTGTAAATACCACAACCTGTAAGGCCCAGTATCTGGGAGATGTGACAAAATAATAATAAATGGCAAGATCCTGATCACATGAAATTCCATAATGTTTTGGCATTGAATACACTAGGACTAGAACAAGCAGTGAAACTAGGATGTATTTATCTAAAATACTAGTAGCGCTGATTTCTGCTCTCCTCATTAGGAAGAGTATCAAGACTACGAACCTGAAGCATGAGAGTCCTTCCCTTCCTTTATATCTCCTGAAATCTACTAACTACTAAAGACGTCCCATCCTGTACAAGTGCTGAGTTCCAATGTGCCCAGTCGTAAAATTTTTTTACAGTTTTTACGGTGTATTTTGAAGTCTTCCATCAGCAATGATTGGAGTATCTGTGACTGCATCCACCTTGTTTCAGCATTTCCCTCCTAACTGGTTGGCAGGGTCATTGTTGTGCTGTGGATATTGTGGCTTCAAGTTTAAAAGTTAAAAAAGAAAATATTAAGTAAAAACACCTAAGTGTCTACTGCTTATTTCTAACTCTGTACATGTTTTGTTGATAGCCTGTCAGTAATTTGATATTGTTTATGATACAATTTTTATTTGTTTCCTATGACTCTTCTTTCTGTGCAGAGATGACTTATTGTGAGAGCTTTATATATATGTGTATGTATTATACATATAAAAAAAGTAATTGAGCATGAACTATGCACCTATAAATATTAGCTGTTGAAATTTTATTGTTTTGTGATGTGTTTTATTAACTTGTGTCTGTAAATAATGGTGTTCAACTGAAGCGAATAAAATGTAACCCATTAAAAATGAACTTCTAAATTAGTGGTGATTTATAATACCTTCTTGCCTCTCCAAAAGCCCCTGTTAAAGCTGTGTTGCTTCCTGTGAAGGAACCGGAGGAACAAAACCAGCAAATGGAAGCCCGGTCTACACAAAAAACAGGGTGAAGAATGAGAGTATCAGGGCTGGGTACCTCAGCTGGAGTAAATTGTTGACAAAATAGATTCATTTTCAGTGCTAATAAGCTTTCTGTTGTAAGGAGAACCTGAGAGTGAATGAAGCCATTAATAACGGGTTGCAGCAGATTATCAGGAAATGATGAGGCCCTTTGAAGAATTACTGTTTCAAGGTTGTTAAAGTGCTGGGCTATACAGAAGAGTGATGGATTACTTGCCATCAATTTGTCTTGTATAAAGTCCCATTTAGCAAAAGTACAGCCTACTGTCTGTTTTTAGACACGGTAATTTTAGTTATGTTGCCTGGATACTTTTCCATATAGAAAAAAGATTTAAATGTGAGATGTTTCTACTTCGCTCATGTTGTATTACCTGTTATTTTGGATCAAATGTTGCCTCTAACCTGAATGATACAGTGTTCTTTTTGTTTAAGGTTCTCTACTCCTGAGCAGGATTTTGAACTTCCCTTACAGCTAGTCTTTCCAGTGTTCTGGGGCATGGACCTTAAAACAGGTAAAGATAATTGTCTGTTTTTTCAAATGGGGAAACTTAGGCGCAACCACATAATGCGTGTCACTGGTATGTACAAAGAGAGACCCAAAACCCCAGAGGCTGAACTCTCCAACTTGTTCTTGAACTGAGCTCCTTTCTGGCTTTCTGCAACCTTCCTGGTATTAGCATGCCCAACGTAGGATAGATCTTTCCAGGTATGTACCCATCCCAGCTGTGTACAGTGGGAGCTGTATGGTGTAGTACTGTGAGTCAAAATCACATGAACATACTGGTTTCACGATGCTTAGAAAACCGGTTCTTCAATTTCTCATGTCATCCCCCAGTCCCAACCCCATATTTCCAAGGAATTTCATTTACTTCAGAGGAATTGCTGTCAAGCTCTTTTTTCAAAGCAATTAAAAATCCCCTTGATCATTTCAAACAACTTGCAGATATTTTCATCAATAGCTACATTGCTTAATGGAGCCTGAAGTCCTGCGCTCTTTTGCAGAAATCTTTCATGATAGCCTGCAACAACCCACTAACAATTTGCAGTCTCCTTCACAGGTGGTGTGTCAAAAGAATCTCTTGACCTGGACATCTCTAGTGTTAAAATCCATCTTAATGCCTCAGTGGTAAATCTATTGATTGCGTCCATGGAAAATTAATATCAGGACAGGGCACAATGTAAGATGCTGCTTTTATAGCTATTAATGTTTTTAAAGATCTTTCTGTTCTAGTAGGATTCGGGAAGAAAAGCCCAGTGCTGTATTGTGATTCCCCCTCCCTGCCCCCCCCTCCCCCCCAGCATCCCCGGGCCTACCTCTTCCCGGAGAACATGGGTCCGAAGATCAATTGAGAGCAGTCAGATGCCTGATACTTTAGGAAATAGCAGCCTAAGTAGAATACCTATTTCTGTTGTTCATCTTCTCTTCCACAGCCCACAGGTCTTGATTGCTCTATTGTTTCTCTATTAGGGAATCAAATTAAACTGTTTGGTTGCTCACATGTTGCAAGTAAGTCGTGCACTTCTTAAATAAGCTGTGGGGAACAGTATGTCATAAAAAACAGTAATAAGAATAAATTGACTCCTGAGACTGGCCCATTGTCTGATCATGTAGGAATTAATTATTTTCTTTCGTAGGTTAATATCAGCAAATCATTCGGAGTTTTCAGGTCATTTAAAACGTACCATAGGCAATCAGTTTAGTTTTTGTGCCTCTTGCAAACATGCCCTCAGATGGCCCCGAAAGTCCATGGGACCCCTGGTTACTATGGCAGCACAGCGTGATGCACTGCTCTGGTAACAAGCTGCATTTTAATTAGATTCCTTAAGGGCTGTCTGACCATCCTTTCCAGGTAAACTAAATGCCATTTTGTCTTATTTCCTGCAGAGATGAATACTGACACGCTGATTGCAAATGTCAGAATTGTGTTGGATTCTAAAGATGAACTAAATAGATACTGCTGTATTCAGATTTTTTTAAGTGTCTGCCCTGGGTATTAAAAAACGCTTCTACTGTTGTGATAACATTTGCTTAAGCGATGCCTGCCAGAGAGGGATATACCTCAGAGCCCTCTTTTCCTTAGGAGCCTAGATTTCAACTCAAACCGAAAGCAATCTTCTGTCCTCAAATTACGAGTTAGTAATGAGTCTCACCATATCCCAGTTCTCCAGGGAAAAAAACACATGTTGCTTTTTTGTTCTATTTTGACAGCTTTAATTGGTCTTCTAATGGTTCCTAATTAGACACATTGTAATAATGTTTTTATTACTGTAAATCATAGTGTTAATACTTGTGTTACATGCCTTTTGTATAATGACTTTCAAGTCGTTGTATTTGTCTGAGGGATAAGGCAAGAAATGCCCTCCTCCTCCCACCGAGACTTCCCTTCCTTCCCTGGAGACAGTTATAGGCAAGTTAAGGTAAATTACAATGTCCTAAACTCAAGGAAAAGTAACATGCCTGCATCTCTTCAGGAAGCACAGATTTTACTCATCCTGGCTTTCATAGCGTGGGCAGTCTAGGCTCAGTGATTCTCCTATGGAAGCATCCGACACGGACAGCAGGTCAATCAGCTGCAGCAGACAGAGTAGAGACCTCTGCCTCCAAGAGCTGGGAGACTTGAAGATTCAGGGCCGTCCATTTAATGGCTGAAATTATTCCAGGAGCACAACGGAAGACAGGTACAGAATGGCTGCCTACACATATTCATAAAATCTTAATATACCAAGTAGAACTACTTAATGGCCTCTAAGATTTGATCCAAAGTTCACTGAAATCTGTGGCAAGATTTCTACTGGCTTCACATGGGTGTTTTAGGACACCCGTAGCTCCAGTATACATTTGATCTTCTCATACAAATTACATGTGGCAGTCTGTACTGACGTGATGAGTTTCCAGTTCTTTTCTGTATGCTTTTTAGGCAGAAAATAACTGCTGAAACCCTTGCTTCTGGAGTTTCCTAAGGCACTGGCTGTACGGTACTTTTTTTGTCAGATAGATGGTGTACAGTGGAGGTGATGCTCCAGGGCTCTGATCCCTAACTCGCTGAAAATAAAGGGAGTCTTTTCGTTGACTTATGTGGGTGTGGATGATTCCTGGTGCCTCTCAAGTCTGCATAGAACTCGGAGATGGCAGAGATCAGATGATCAAGGTCCCTCTGCAGAATATGCAAGAGTAGCAAAAGTAGCAGAAGAACAAAGATCACCATAAAATCCCACAGCTAAGTCCTCACCAGGCTTCTTCAGCAGCGCTGTGGTCTTATACGCTGGCGGAATACCATACTGTAAATACTGCATGGTACAGCATACCTCAAATGTTGGGTTTGAGTGGAGTAGTTGTCCTTAGGTATTGCAACCTTAGAGATAATTACTCTTTCAGGTAACTGATAAATCTTTGTGTTCTGCTCTGGAATAGCTTAGGACGTAAGTGGGAGAAGATAGATGGTTCCCCGATACTGGTTTTGGGTTTAATTTCAGTTCTCACGAGGCTTCCAGTGACTTTGACTAAACTATCTGATACTTTTTGGCCCCCAGCTTGAGGCTTTCAATATTCCTGGAAAAGACGCTAATAATGGTCTTCACAGGGTATCATCATTCTGCTTGGATATATGCAGGTCTGAACTAATAGCATCATTTTTCACATAAGCAGACTTGCTCTTGAGTTACAGTAACCAAAAGCAAATGAGATCTTAGTCTTCAGTGTCTCCATGCTGCATTTTTAATGGAAAATATCATCTGTTTAAATGCAGACATAAACAACTTTTCTCAACCCTGCCTGACATTTAACGTGTAACTCAGAAGGTTCCTCTGATCTAAAAAAGGCTGGCAGATGGAAAAACAGCAGGTGGAACCTCAGATGAGACAGCCAGGAGGTAACAAACAGGGTAGGAAACTAGGTCAGATGAGATTTCTTCCATCTTGGAAGAAATGCTTTGAAAATGCTTCCTCCATTAGAGGCATGAAAGTGGGTTTTCAGCATTTTCCATTAATATTCACATCTCTGAATAGGTCAGAGTCTATCAGCATCTGATACGTCTATAGGGCATACTTCTGCGGAAAAGGTGAATGTCTGAGATTTACAAGTGTGCTTTTTTCAGCTGCAGCACTGGAGACCTCTTTAAAAGAGGCTAGAGCACCCATGCGTTTCTGATGATTAACTTGAGATTTAACAAGGAGAATGTTGTTACAAAAAGCCAACTGCTTGGGATACCTCAACTTCTTTTCTTTTTCTCTCTACTCACCGCTGTCCCATTTGTTTCTTTCTCTCCACTACTCTGCTAAATTTTCAGAGGGTTAGATCTTACCCTGTCCCCATTGCCGAGTGTCCATTTTACTGCAAAATCTTATTCCAGTCATTGCGTCTAGTACATTGTGATGAGGCTGCAAGCGTGCCTGGAGAACTGGGGTTTAGTCTTTGACCCTCCCACTAAAAAGAGGAAGGACCACAGCTCGTCTCCTCCTCGGGATGCTCCCATCACTACTGTATCCAAAGACACGGCAAGGCAGAGGCACTGCTCAAAAGCACTGAGGTGGAGAAGCACGGTGGCAGAGGAGATTGGAGAAGCAAAACAGGCGTGAGAGCCTTGCTGAGAATTGGCTGGCATTCATCCTGCCTCCCTCCCCCAGGCAGTGCTTCTGGTGTCAGAGACTAATGATAGGAAACAGCCCGTGGTTTTACAATGCTTCCAGGGACAGGTACCTCAAGGAGCCAGGTAAATTCAGAACAGGGCTGCTTTGCTCTCTGTGAGGCAGAATTCCCGTGCTCTTTGAGGAGACCTGGCTTTTTACGTTGAATTTCCTTTTCTCCTTTTCTGCCACCTGAAGTCCTCTGTACCAAGAAAATAAAAGCAATTAACG